TCCATATGGCGGGGACAAACAGTTTGCGTAAGAAACAGTGTTGTTACAGACGAGCTACGTTAGCTAATACAGAGACACAGAGTGGAAGAAAGCAAGTGATCACGTAGAGAGAATGAAGATGAAGATGAAATGGATCAACATATCAATACAGGATATAATCCGAATCTGTTTGATCGACGTACTCAAATGGAGATCATGTGGAGATCTGTTAGATTTACTTCAACGGAAGCAGCCATAATGAAACAGTATATGGAAAATCAAAATGCTTATAGTACGTAATTTAGAGAGGAAGAAAGCATAAGAACCTGTCTGCCGCCGCCTCAGCCATGTTGGTGCAACCGAGTCCCAGTGAAAGAAAGGCAGACTTCACTTGCCTTCCTTTCAAGTTTATAAAGAGAAGCTGCTTTGGGAATTCCAGCGACAGTGTTTAAGGAGTTTGTAGGATAGATGGAATCAGGTGAAATCAAACATGATCTACGTTAGCGACACTTTTAAGATCTAACTTAGGGCCAGGCCTGCGCTAATGAGATAGTTCGGAATCTGGTTGGAAAGTTGAAAGTAAACATTAGATACACTATGTCATTAAAAGTGTTGTTTCACATTTGAAAGTTCAGAAATATCTTTCCTTTTCCTGGGGTGGCAAGGGTTATGCCCTCTTGAGTTTTTTTCGAATGGCTAAATTGCCCTTCCATCATTTGTGGGATTATAATGCAGGACTTTCTTTATGGAGACAAGACAATCTGCTGCTGATGACTCCCACAATCTGACCTCGTGGCATCTTATATTGAAGACATGATTTGGAACTTAGCTAATAGTTTACTTTTGTGTTAGCGTGTTTTGTTCCAGCTTTTTCTTTTCTTTCAAGCTTTGTACGTGCCATTTTATTATTAAAAATAAAAAGACTATTTTCTTATAGTCCATTATCGCATGGATCAGTCATGCTTAAAAAATGGATATCATTGATAACAATTTATAACTATACCTTTGAACTACAAATCAAAAAAATGATATACTAATCAATACTATTATATATAGAATAAAATACAGCGACAACCCTTCCGTTTTGTTAAAATTACGGAGAACTCCTTAACACCGTAAAAAATTCTAAAATACTTAATTTTTTATTTGTAATTATTTTACAAATTTTAAAATTATTAATTTATCCTTCTGATTAAATTATTCAAACATAATTATATGGTTTGACAAGATAGGTTGACATGGCTGCATTCTTCATCGATTGAATTCTGCCAGCCTGCACAACATGCAGCGGGTTGGTGGATTAGCAGGCCAACCTGCAATTAAAAAAAGTATTTTTATAATTTTTTTAAATTTTAAAAACTATAAATTTATCTCTTTTTATTTTTTTTCATGGTGAAAAAATTATGTATTCTCCCTAAAAATTAATTATCCAAATAATAATAAAAATCTTTCTAATTAAGACATGCATATATCATCACTTAAATATAAACTAATTTAATTTTGTGATACTTTCATTTTCTAATTTTTTACATGACTGATCAGTATTATACATATATGAATTAATAAAAATACTCTGTCTATCCCTTTTTTTATCCTGTTTTGGCATTTTGCTTCAAAATTGATGCCCAATTTAAAATACCAAGTTTTTTTAAGAAAATAATGATGATTTAAACTATAACTATTAGAATACTATTCATAATGCATTCAGTTCATACCATCTAAACATTCTAATATCTTTGTATTTGTTTTTTTTTTATGTTCAAATTAAGATGATAATATAATTTTTAAAAATGGAAAACCAATCGCCCATAGTCTAGCTCACTTTGTCTCAAAAGCATAAACATAAAGAACAAAGAACATGTCAATATCTTGAAAGACTTGGTTCACGCTTTTGAATTCTCACTTTGTCTCAAAAGCATAAATATGGAGAACGAAGAACATGTCAACATCTTAAAAGACTTGGTTCACACTTTTGAATCATATTTCTGCGTTTACGAAAGTAAAATATAAATTTTTGTTAGAGATTGTTATGGGCATGTTATATTGTTATTTATGTCTTTAATTTGTTGCAATTTGAATAATTTATCTTTTTTTTTTTGTCCTTCGTTTGGAATAATTTATTCTCTTCTCTTATATGTATTGTGTTTTATCCATTTGAGTTGATAATATGAGAGTGACGGTTAATGAATACACATGTGTGTGTATTAATGAATATTGAAGTTAATTACCTCCAGGCTCCAAGGAAGTTTCTCAAGTCTTAACCATGGTAGTTTCTTTCTTTAATATAAGGTTACGGATAACCTTGTATGGAAAAAAGTTCATGTTATGTAAGAAATTATACAATTTCTACATCTAGAGAATGGCCCGTCAAAAATTGTATTATCAAAATTATTATTAAAACTTTAAAAACTTGATGAGTAAGTTAGTCTATGCATTAATTTGTTTCTCTGTATCCATACATGTTTGAAGGTGACTATCTAATCCTTCATAATAAAATCTTTATTATTATTGACTTTATTGGTGAGAGGATGATTCATAGTAAAATTGCTCTAAATGAGCATGAAAGTTTTAAAAGAGTCCAAGTAAATATTGACTTTGAAAAAAAGCACATCTCCAACATAGATTGATGCTATTAAGAATATCCAAAAGTTCAGCAATGAGAACATTTAATATAGTTAGAGAAACCCTTAAGCTAATTTCCTTAGTTGTCACCAATAAGGCCTTTTAAAATAGCAATTCTATTGAAATTGATTGAGCTATTAATATCAAATCTAATGCATTTAGGTTAGGGTGAATTCATACAAGAGTGCTAATGCTTCTTTCATTTTAGTAAATCTCAAATGGAGAGTTCTATCTTATTATTCCATTATTTTTAATTAATTTGATTCCATTAATCTGAATGGCCCACCATGCCGCATTATTCAACCAATTGAGTATTTCATATCTAAATGCTTTGACACACTCCCACTATCACACATAGGAGTATTCAAGATTCAATCAGTCGATCTCTCGCATTCCCTAGTCACAGCCAAAAATGTAAATATTAAGTATACATTAGTATAAGGCTTTTGAATTCTGTTTTCATCAAGAAATAACAGTCGCAATGATTGGTTGATCTTTTTTTCTGTAATTGTTTTTTTTTAATTGTAAGACTACTTTTTATACTTTTTAGTTAACATATTCATTTGATCTTTTGATATATTCATTTGATCTTCTTTGAAAGGGAAAAAAAGTATGCAGTGGTATAAAATATTAGTATAGTAAAAATATTTGTGTAGAAAAACAAAAAATAGAAAAATTATGCAGACCTGATGTGAGGAGCCAGGACTTAAAGTCAAGTAATGCAAGACAACTCAATTTAAAAAAATATTACATTAAGCAAAAAATGTAATAACATAAATAAAATTATGTATATTTTTATTTGAAAAAAAAATATACTGAGAATTTATTTGGGTAAAAATGTGTTGAGAAATTTGATATAGAGTTTATTTAAAAAAAAAGAAAAAAAAAAGGAAACAATTACCAAAAGGATGACTTAATTTGTTGTGCTTGGATTCTATTACAAAATAAACAACTCTTAATCCAATTTTTTAATGATATGTATAATGAGTAAAAAAAATTTGGTTTAAATTTTTGGATTATGAGTTAAAATATTATTTATTTAAAAAATTTTGAACCCAAGTGTTTTTTTTATCAAATTTAGAGAGTTTAAAATTCTAAAACTAGGGTTGCAAGATTGTAATTATTACATTTATGTGTAATTTTCTTTAGGTGAAGGGGCCTCCCATATACATAGCTCCATCATTGGATGTGATTATTGAAATAAGCTTTTTAATGGAGTAACCATAACTTATTTTACATGTAAAAGAAACCTGTCAGTTGAAGTAGTTAATTAATTAGCCAACTTCCGACTTGACTAAATTAAAAATAATTATTTGGAGTATAAGATAACGTTAGGGTATTTACGTTGCCAGTTTGATTCGTTTATTCCATATGTGTCATCTTCGTCCCCGTTTTGCCAACATAAAGTGCGGCATCAATCACATTTTGACGGAATCGAAAAGTTTGAAGGATCATCATAAAAATTTAATTAATTAGGTGAGGAGATCCCTCGATTTTGCTGTCTTAGTTTCTTTAGAATCATGCATGTCAATTTTGAATGGCCCTCCAAGCGTAGAGATATAACATAACCCCTCCTGTTCAAAATATTACCAACTTTTAATAATAACAACAATAATCCACATAACAGTAAAATATGTATTCTAGTCTCATAAAAAACATATATTGGTTTTTTTATTTATACTTCTAATTTATAACGAGTAAGAAAAAGATTATAAATTTGTGAATGCAATAATTTAGGTTGGGCAAAAATAAAAAAGAAATTAAAAATATTAAATTGTTATATGTTGGACTAATATTAACTAAAAAAAATGTTTATATTTTAAAATGAGAGTGTAATATTACTTGTGGTTATTATTTATTATGAAAAATTAACTGGGTTCTTCGTGGAACCACATGCCATGGATTTTCTCATTTTTCACCATTCGCTTATCTAATCAGGCTTAGCCACAACAGTTTTCTAAAGGCCGATAAAGTCATCATATGACCATCTTGGTTATAATTATTGAATTTCATTAATATTTTAAAATTATCAAGATACATTGTAAAAAAAATAAAAAAATCATAATAATCAAAGCACTCTCACATATGTTATTTACTCCAAATATTTAATATTTGGTATTTTTACAGTATTATATGACAAAATTTTTCAGTTATTTGATTAAATTGAACAAGTAAAGCATTAATTAAGTGAATAAATTTATATCACTCACTGAATCTAAATCTAAATCTTAAAGAGAGACTGCGATATTATCATATATTTATTATTCCAAGTTAAAAACAAGTTGCATTAAAATCCAATATCTATTACATAAATATATCTTGGATCCTACGTCACAATGTAGTAAAATAGTAATAAATATATATATATATATATATATATATATATAAACAAGTAGAAGTGCGTATAAACTCCAACTTCATTTCTTTATAATTTATATCTATTTCTTGATTCTTTTTCTTTACTATATTTATATTACAAGGCCGTAATTATTTATCACCAACAATCCACACTCACATAAATGGCGTGTATAGAGTTCACTTTTCTTCTGTAACTCTATCGTATGTTTCCTCCCTATTTTTTTCCGTTACACTACAAGCAATAACTTATCTAGTACAGAGAACTCTCACTCATATAAAATACCAGGTAGTCTTCAATTAATTCATCGGCTGAAGCTAATGCATTGAGGGGAGGCTCCATGAAGAAGAGGAAGGAGCTCAGAACAATGATGAAGATGGTGAACACAAAAGCTGATCTGCAAGAATCTCCGTACTGTCTCACAAGTTTGAGCCCTTCTTCTTGACCACCTCTTCCTGAAGAAGATGATGACGCATCTTTCAACTCAACGCTTGGGCTTGTGAAAAACCCATAAGCCATTCCTGTTATGGCTGCTCCAAAGTGTGACCTACACAATAAATAAAAGTTATGAGTCTCCAAGTGTGAGAACTTGAAGCTAGGTTTCTTCCATAACTGTTGACTTTCATGTACAGACTAGTTTATGTGAGCAGTGTTAGAGACATACCAGTCATCAATTGGACAAAAGTGGCTTAATATGAAACTAGCGGCTGTAAATACGATTGCTTTATGGAACATGGCCTCTGTAGTTTCCTTATCATCAACATCCCTGTTCTGGATTTGATATGTGAGCCAAGCTCCAATTATGGCAAATACAGGTCCCTGCGTGTAAGTTCCAAATATAAAAATGAGGTTAATGCCATGTGAGATATCAGTATCAGTTCATTGTGATAACAAATTCACCTCTTAAAAGGTAACATGTTGGTGTTGCACATAGGTTGGTGGTATGCTGGTTGAATTTAACACAAGTTTTTGTTGTATGAAGTGCTACTTATTTTTTAGTATTTCATGTTTCACAGAGCAGTCTTTTGAAAAGAAAAAAAAAATTACATATCACATCTGCTTTATTACTTTGACTTAACAGAGTTCATCACTTGGATAATTTTTTCAAGATTTGAGAACACGCAAAGCCTTTCTAATCATGTAGTAAGCCGATATTTGAAAGAAAATTAGGGATAACACAGTTTTGTTAGGGTTTGGGAGAGCATTGGACACAAAGAACAGCCACTGAATCTGAATTTGAGAATATGTATACATACAAGTGAACATTACTTAATCCAAAATTTTAGGACACGTTCAAGGGTCTTTTCAACTTGTATATCTCTTCTTTAATTTAATCATATCCATTGTGAATTTTTTCCCCACATTCTTTACTTTCACTTGATCCGAACAAGCTTCACCCAGGCGAAGAAGTCCACATTGATATCTGATTTACTGTGATTTAAGAATTGAAGATGAAACTCTTGAACTTGAAGCATCAACAAGAAACAAAAGTATAGAAGTCAAGAGCTTACCGTCCCACCAACAGTAGGATCTGGTGTATGCAGAAAGCTTGTCAAGTTGCCAGAAACTCCTCCCAGTATGTAGATCAAGAGAAAGGTGAATGAACCATAGCCTCTGCAGACATGAGGGCCAAATGATACGAGTGCCCAACAACTGAGCGCCATGTGAAAAATGCCAGAGTGCTGCACACGTCAAAGATATCGAGGACATATTATAAGTTCAGTTTCAATGAGATTGTTTAGCAATCAGTATAGCATGTCTCTTAAGCTACTCTAAAATACAGTACTTCTCATAATAGATTTACCATCAGGTTTTTTCACATAATGGACTACATCATCTTTTACTCTCCTTGATTTTTCATGAGAATTTAGAGTGATCACTTGATTCTTTCCATATATTAACTTCAGAAACCTTCACTGTATATGTGGCCGAGTTTATAAGTTGCATGCCGCTGTGGACTAAAAATTGAAATGACATAAATCACCAAAGCTAAATGCAGTATAGAATGAGAACAAGTAAGGTACATGAAAAAAAAATTGAAAGCAGACCAATTAGTTGATTATGTTCTAGGCCAGCTTGGTACATGTTTGTTGGACCTCAAAGGTTAATAATCCAATTATTTGAGCTTAAATTAATCCCGTTGCTCATTAGGCACTAATATTAGGTCTAAGATCAGGTTATTTGTACAGTTCTCACAGATAATAATGAGCTCTATAACTGTAGAATGGAAACACGAACCCAATTGTCAATCTTGTACCAGAAACATTGGTGTCACCAGCCTCCACCATTCTCCAACGATGATCAAATGATTTATCTTTGCGCCATATAGCAGTGGAATAGAAAACAGCTCCAAGTCAGCGTTCCTTATTGGACTGGCTATTTCAAAGAGGAACACAGCAATGTCGATCGAAGCCAATGTACCACTGCACCAAATATGACACCACAAAAAAACATGAGAGGCTATTAATGCAAATACTAGTCTTTGAACAAGTGGAAACACCGATTAGCACTGAAGACTTACATTAAGTACAGATTGGAGGCTTCATCTTGCAGTATTGTATTTCTAGATAACTTTCCATCACGTTTGCCTTTTGTTCTTTGTATATTCACAAAAGTCGTCTGCTTTCTATAGTAGTCTATTTCAGTCTCTTTCCTGACGTTTTCTTCATTTCGAAGCTCAGTGTAAATAGATGGAACAGAAGACTCTTGGCTTGCACCTGCACAACAGAAAAACATTAACTAATAAACACACGAGGACAGAATTCTAGCCAAATCATCCTGCTTGGATGATAAGTTCACAACTTGACATGTTGACTCATTATATACTGGCCCAAATTGTAAAAAATACTTAAATAGCATAATTTATACTTCTTGCGTAGGTATCTGTTTAGTTCAGTATAATGGACTGCTCGTGATTCTTCAAACCCTTTACACAATTTTCTTGGTGCTGTATCACAGAATTATAGTGTTTGATGGTTAGAACAGAAGGGTAACAAATGATAAACTGAATATTTTACCATTATTTAGTTTGCCGAGATAAGCATTTAGAGACACTAAGCCATCGGTTGCTTTGGACTGGCCTTTCTCATTATACTCCTCAATAACCTGATCAGGTGAATCCAAAGGAGATAACAGTGTTGCATTATCTTGGAGTTTTCCAAAATAAGAACCAAGGGATTTCAGTTGCTTTTCATTATTGCCTGACTCCACTGAACACCTCACCAAGGAAAATTGATCCTTCTTTGAATAACATCCCTGAATGAAATTTATATGTCTATGTGGACCACAAAGTCTTTGTAAGCAAGTTACACGTGTCTTCATTTTATGCAGAGAACCTCCTCTGGCTTGACCTACACATTGAGGTACAATCCCTTCCTGCAAATTTGATTTGGGAAAGTGATCACTGACTGCATATGAGGCATGGGTTCTCCTGCAAATATGATCATGATTTGAAGAGAAGGACTTTTGCATATTGATAGGGTCATCTATGAGTCTCTTGTCATTTTGTCTTGAAGTGCTTTGAATCGGTATGTTTAGGTCCCTGTGGACTGCTTTGTAACTTAACAGAAATGCAGCCATATACCTGAGGGAAAACATAAGGCAAAAGACCTTGAAACAGTTAGCTGTAAGTAGTCATGTCTATGCAAAGCAACAAAAGCTTGTGCTCTTAAGATCTTTATACCATTAATAGAATAGAACTCAGGTTTACTATATCGGGCAATCTTTTCAGCTTAAGCTCAGTGGCTTTTACTTCCAATTTTGGATCGTTGGAACTAGACAGGAACAGAGTGAAATGAAGTATTGCGCATGAATAAAACAACTTTTAAGGGTGTACACTGGAGAGTGGAGACATATATTCTAGTTCAACCCCTAACTGTTTTAAATTAGATCATCTCCATTGATACCAGGGCGTGTGAAGATATTTTAAGGCCTCAGGCAAAATTATTTATAAAGCTTGGCATGTGTAATTGTCCCTTAAAAAAAAAATCCACTCATCATTTTTTATAAAATTATATATTAAAATTTTATAATATAGTGATTGTAATAAAATACTAAATTAATTCAATAGCTAAATGAAAATTAGTATTAACAAAGTGCTCCTACCCCATCTTATGTATTGAGATAGAATATTAACACTAATATGGAATGGCAATACATTTTAACAAAAAAAGATATAATTAAGAACTAATATGAGATGGCAATACATTTTAACAAAAAAAGATATAATTAAGACTAATAATATCAATTATTAGTGTGAAAAACTAATAATAATTACATAAATTATAAACAAGATTTTAATAAGGCTTAAAAGTTTCGTGTTGATGGTCTAAAACTATACAAGATCTTAATAATAATATTTGCCAATGTTTTAGGCTTTGGAAGAAGAAAAGGAGAAAATGAAAAGTGAGACTATAAGAGAAATTTAAAGCAAGCTAATGTGGCGCAAATTAGTGTATTATGAATCTCACTATTCTTTTGTTAAGTAGATAATGAACTCAACTCAATGATTAATGTTATATTGAGAATGGTTGGAACTTTTTAACAAAAAAAAACAATTAATACTTTCTATTCTTTTTCACCTATAATTAAATATATAATGATACAAATATCAATTACACACATATATATAATAGATGTATTAATATATTTTTTTGGAGGCCTAAGCCAATTGCCTCACTTGCCTTGTGGCTTCCACGGCCCTGATTGATACATTAATATCATCAAAGAAAGCAACAAAATAGAAAATGATTGTGTATGGAACCCACATATCATTTATTACACTCATTCATCACTCCCCCCCCCCAATCATTTATTACACTCATTCATCACTCCCCCCCCCCCCTCTTCAAATGCACCCTCTATGTTCGCAAAACACTAATTTCATGATTTTCACTCTCGCTCTGTTATTCTCTGACCTGATCCTGAACTAGAAAATCTGTTCGACCTGATAGATTTGGGTTGGAAAAAAAAAAAAAGGAAGCACATGAAAAAGAGTATGATATAAAATAGGTGTATTTGAAAAACCTGAATTTTACCTTTTTGGAATCAAAAGAACAATCAACGCCCCAAAAGACAGATTACATAGTCATCCTAGAGGTTAGTTTTCTGAAGTTTGGTTTGAGTCCAACCTCAACCTATTTGAATTTGTTGTTATATAAATATATTTTTTTAGAAAAAATATACATCAAATTGATCCAAGAGTCTCATATCTCCTATTTCAAACTTCCATAAACAAACTTTCTAAGAGCCTGAGCAGTATTTTTCATCAAGCACTTCCCCTAATCAGATCTCTTATGGGACCTTTTCTTCTAGTTTGAATTAATTAACTTCATTTCGCCATACAAGAACTAAATTTTCTATTCTTCAAACAAAGATAATTGCTTTTTTCCTTTAGTATCATAGAATGATATGTAGTTTTACAATTCAGGACAAATGAAGAACAGAAAACACAAGTAGGTGTGTTCATTACAGATTCCTCGATATCTCATTTTCTCTATAGTATTGAAAAACTGGGTTAACCTGGCCAGTTCAACCAGTAAAACATTAAACAGTGCCTCTTAACTTGTTCAATGAGATATTTTATTTATTGACTACAATTCTGACCATTAACCATTTCTCAGTACCTTGATTTTCTCAAGACCTTGTTTTTGTTGACAGTAACAGGAGGAAAAAACAGAGCAAATTGAACCAGAAGCAATCATAACAAGTGTTTTTCTCCACTTAAAGAAAAATCATTTTCCGAGACACCAGACATGGAAACGGTAATTCTGAGAAAATGCAGAACTTGAAGGAGCGAAACAAAAGCTAGAAACTGTAATAATAAGAGGGGGAATGAATAGGCACCTGACTGCGAGGTCCGGCAGGTTCTGCAAATGTGGCAGTGGGTTTTGAGGAAGATAATTTCTGGAACCTTAAAGAGATTGTTTTATGAAGAAAGAGATACTCATCACGCATGTTGTTTCTTTCTTAGTACTTGCCTTAATGAGCTGTGTTGGTGGTGGAATTGATAGAACAGAAGACGACAAGTAATGTCTTAGTCTGCGTATTTGAACCTTATCCCTGTTGAACCAGTCATGTCTTGCCACAATTGATTTGCGAAATCTAAGCCTTTAACCAACCAATCAATGTGCAGATTAGGATTCGGATGTGCCCACTTCATATACTTAAACAGCATCTCCGCATAATGAAGTATGTGGCCTCAAACAAGCATGTTATTTATTTCTGGCCCCACTTGTTGTTTGAAAAAGAAAAACAATAAGGGAATCCAGGATAAACCAGATGAATTTGTGGGGGAAAAAAATTTATTCACATATACACGGGGTTGGTTACCAGGTTTAAACAAATTCCTATATTAATTATAGGGCATAGGGCTAATTTAACAAATTTTTACTGTTACTAAAGAATGATAATTAATATTATTAAACTTATAAAAAATATTTGATTCTTTAATTTTTCCCTTCAGTAAAATTAATCACCACAATAAAATGTGTTCAAAAATTACAATTTTGTGCAAAAAAAAAAATTTAGAAGTTAACTACTATATCTTTATCTTTTATTTAAAATCATAAATCACACACATACATATAGCACATACGTACTCCTTCAGCACTTGATATAATTTCAATTAAGACAAGGAGTATACTTTCTAACGGCCAAAACTAACACACAAACACACCCACACCACACTTATATATATATATATATATATATATATATATATATATAGTAAATACGTACTCGTCCAGTACATGATATAATTTCATTTTATCTATCTACTTAAAAATTAAGAAAGATAATTAAACAGAAGTTGGCTTACTAGAGATGTAAAAACTAATATCTTTCTAAACTAGCCTCATTAAAAAATCAAATATCAAAGACTACATTAATTGCGCATGATATGTAATTCTACAAAAGTACACAAGTGCAATACAGAAAGGCAAAAAATTAAATGATCTTGATAATAAAAAAAAAAAACTGGCTTATATTTTTAACCCAGAAAATTAAAAAATACATACCCGAATTATAAGCGGGAGAAGTATACTTCCAAATTTCAATAGGGTTAACCACTCCTAGTTTCGAAGAAGGAAACTTGCAAATAATAATAATAATAATGACAGCGGATTTTTCACTCGATTACATTCTTGGGTACCCAAAAACAAAAAATAAAATAATTACATTTTTAATATTCTAAAAACAATAATAAATTAACATTATTAAATATCTAAATTATAGGAAACATAAACAAAATACCAATATATTCTGTATAAAAATTATCAAAATATTCATTAAAAACTTCCAGCAACAAATTCAAGCTAATTAATTTTTTTAAAAAAAACAACAGGTGTCTGGCTAGACATCAAGCTGCAAAACATGATCACCTTAGATGGATAAAAAGTTGACTGACGTGAGAACTCGGGAATCTTTTAAAACAATATCGTTGGGTTAATAGTGTTAAGGAATTACTAATTAATGAAAAAAATTTATATACTTAATTTTATATTCTTAAAATGCTTGTTTTCAGTTAAATTAAGATATGTATATATATATTATAAATTACTTATTCTATAATAAATTTTTATTATTAATATTATTAACTATTATTCATATGAGATTCAATAAAATTTTATGTTGACGATTGAAAGCCTAACACAACCCTCTTCCTTCATCCAAACCTAAGACCAACTGCATAACATAAACTGACCTCACTTAACAAAATAAAACTTGTTATTGTTATTTATTAATATTATTAACATATTAAAAGTCATGTCTTAATTTAATTGAATAAAAATATATTAAGCACATAAAAGTAAGTTTATAAGTCCATTGTCTTTGTTAAAAAGAATCATATTAACGACAATCAAAAATACATGAAAATCTAGCACCTTTCATTAAAAAGTCAACCCTCTTGGTATATTATCTAGCTTATTTTTATTAAAACAAGCTAAAAAGTACTAAATTTCGCCCAGCTGAAAAAATAATTCTGCACTTGGTCCATGCAGAGCAGTACTTGACAAAAATTGCATCAGCTTAAACGAAAATCCGGTATCATTCAACAAAGCTCAATGTTACATAGAACCCTACCAAGGAAAACGTACACCTCAAAATGGTCCAAGACCACATCAAGACTTTCTATAATGATGTCCACATCAGCGCAAAATTGAGAATATCAAACAATACAAGTTCTGTAAGAGGGAAAAAAAAATGGGCTTCATACTATTCTACTGATCGCCAGGCATTGTCTTAATAATGTCAGAATCGCCTGAAAATAGAAAAATACCAAACAATTAGGAAAATAAAAACATAAAACTTCATTTCTAACAAACCAAGTTAATAACAATAGATACCGGGATCAATGATGCTGAGACAGCACACTCTGAAATATTTGCCGCAAGCAGTGCCCAAATCAACATTGTCTGCATCAAGAACCCCTTCGTCAAATGATGATGCATGGGGGAAAATGAAGGGAAAAAAAAAATCACTCAATCACGTCCATTGAATTTTATATAACACACCATTTGATATCAAGGGAAGTATATAATGAAATGGCGAGTCAAAGTACAAAACAATAAAACATGCAGATGCAGGTATAAATCAAAGTCAAACAACTAATACCGTGCAAAATCACCCATATCAACAAAAATATAAAGACCATCATAAGCCACACTGTTGACAAGCCATGAACAATACAAAATCATCCTGGGTTTCATGCAATGGCACAAATCCCATTATTGTTTACAATATAAATAACACTACCAATAAGACAACTGAACCCAAAGGAAAGAAGAAAAGAAGATTAAAATTCATGCATCACCGAAAGTGCCTGCTTAGAAGTGAAACTTCACAGTACTACCATCATGAAACATCCCATTATTGTTTCAATTGATATAAACTTCTATGGGCCCGGAATTTAACAAGAGCGCATATTAAATGATACCAATTACAGAGCCTGCAATCAATTCAAACTCAACAAGAGGATAAAAGGATTTGGGCTTCCAAAATAAAAGGACGAAGTAAATCGAGAACTATTGACCAGGAAAAACAAAATCCAGGGCAGCTAGTCCTGGTTTCTATAGAACCCAATATTAACTAAATAATATTACTTAAACAACATAAACAACTATTGAATTGAAATCATTGTTGATTTGCTATTTTCATTAGAAAAACCCATCCAGACCCCTCAGAAAAAAAACATATGAGCTTGTTTAATTCAAATCAATTTCTTTAAAACTATTATGCAAGTGAGAAAGCTCAATCATGGCCTCTTGAAACGGAAGATTTCTTTCAACTTCATGTCTAACACATCAGTAGACAACATAAGGAAGATATTACAAATTATACTTATGCAAGATGCAAATTCAATCAAGAAAGACCTCACCATCATAACCATACCATAGTCTTACCTATGAATGTTCACGTTGAAATCTTCTAATTTTAATAGAAAACGAATCAGCAAGCTGAAACGCATAAATGAACCATTCATCGACTAACAGTCATGCGAATATTGAGATAGTGATTCCGCAGGCCCAAAAACACTCAACAAAGTGAAAACAAGATGAAATGCTAAATGACAGATGAAGCAAACGAAAACTACAATCCCTATCATTCTAGAAAGATAAGGCAGCATAAGAAACTCACTCCCATTGTAATGATGAACTCCAACCTTCGCCAACATAGCATAGTATTCTATTTCTGATTTCCTCAAAGGCGGGCAGTTGTTGGCAATAATAATCAGTTTCCCTGTAGGGAAGTAAATAGTATTTGAAACAATTTCTAAATCATTTGTAAATTACTTATTACTCAATAAAGTAACGCTCTTTCGCAAAGAATTGATGCAATTTATATGCCCTACCTACATTAAAAAAGTGAATATACAATCTATAATTAGTTTAAGTGTAATCCGTATTCTTCTATTTATCCCAGGTATCAAGAGAAAAGAACTGCCACAGCTACATTGAACAAATTAGTTCAAAAAAAGCTCATAAAACTAGGAGAATGCAATCCAAGAGAGCAACTCGGCATAAACCAGTACCTTTAGAGTTCCTAAGGGACTTCAGAACCGTTTTATAACCCAGGGTATATTTTCCGCTCTTCATCACAAGAGCGAGCCTGTTATTGATACTCTCATGGGTCTTCTTCTGAAAGAGTCAGAGCAAAGAAACCATTAACTTGCCGTTTGAATGAAAAGAAAATCGAAGAAATCTGATCAGAAAGCATAACATTAAAGCTCCAAAGGATCAAATCAAAAGCTTTCAGTGTGATCGCGAATAAGATATGTAGGGCTTACAGTTTTCTTGGCGGCAACCATGGTGGAGGGAGTCTTTGGTGTTGATCCTTGTCGTTTCAGTTCGCCAAAAGAAACCCTAGCCACCTGCGGGCGAGGGTTCAATATATAGGTCAAATGATCTTTTTAGTGGGCCGTTTAGATTTTTAGAAGGCTGACAAAGTGGCTCGAAAACCCTGTAAACCCGGTACTCGGCCCAGCATGAATATGATGTTACGTGAAAATAATTGATAATTGTGAAGTGTATGTAAGGCTCGTTCATTTAAAAGTAAAAAATAAATTATGTTTGAATAATTTAAAAATTTTATTAAAAAAATTATTTGTAGAGATTTTATAAAAACTATTACATGCTGATTTGTTTAAAATTAAAAATAAATAAATTTTAAATAATTTAGATATTTTATAAAAAAATTATCTTGTAGAAATTTTAAAAATTTATTATTATTTATTTATTTTTAGTTTTTATGATATGGATATCTATAATTATTATTTAGTTATTTTAAAATTTTATAATTTATTTGTGTATGTTTGCATTTTGGAAAAATAAAATATTTGGTCCTTACAGTTTTATAAGGTTTTGCTTTTAATTCCTGTAATTGTTTTCAGTGTTTTCAATCCTTATAATTTTAAAAAGATTGGATGACTTTTGTTTTTTAAATCTTTATACTTTTAATTTTTTAGTTTTTTGAGTTCCTATAAAAACTAAAAACACTAAAAAAAATTATAGAGATTAAAAGTAAAATTCAATAAAACTATAGAGATCAAATATTATATTTTTCCTTACATTTTTATGATACTATCTCTTTGCATCATATCATATTTAGAAGCCACTCAAAATAAATTATCATAATAATTAAAAATTTGATATTTTTAAAAATTATTATTATATTCAAAATTTAGACAAACATTATAAAATTTCTCAAAATAGATTTTTTAAAAAATAAGTAAGTTTTTTCATAAAAAACTTTAAAAAATTATCCCATAATTTTAAAAATAACTGCTTTTAATGTTAATATTATTTTTCATAAAGAATGTATTTTAAATGAAAGTAGTTATATTTTTCAAAAAAATGAAAGTAGTTATATTTTTAGAAAATATTTCAAGTCGGGCAAAAATATAAGGCTTTGGAAATATGGATTTTATGATTTTCTTGAAAGGACTAAACCCAAGAAAATAGTAAATAAAGCCCTAGTCTCGCTGTCAAATTAGAAAAGATAAGATGAAAAAATAATTATATATAAAGTGGCCATTGTTGTTTCACTTGAAAGATGCTTAAACGATCTATGACACTGTTAAATAATAAAGATAATGAAAAGATTATAAATAATATCCATTTTATTTTTTGGTTTTAATTTTTAAACATCAACCAGAAAGCTTGTTTGCCGTTAAACATTTGGCAGTGTTCTTTTTCATATATGATTGGAGTAGATTTAGACATTATCAGATCTACTTAAAAATAATTTTTTCAAATGTGTCATCTGCATTCACACTGTGTAATTAGACCTAGAATTAGTCTTGTTGTGCAAGCATTAAGTCAGTTCATGAATGCACCAAGAGAGTCCCATATGGAGGCAACAATAAGAGTACGTTATATATGGTAAACAAGTAGGTGACATTAGTTTTGGAAATCATTGATGCAATTCATTTTATGCATGAGCATTTTACATATTTTTTAACAATATTTATGCTATAGTTTATTGTTGTGTGTGTGTGTGTGTGTGAATAATGCGTATATGTATATATAATAGAAGAGTAACAAGTTTATATCTCTCAATGACACGTATCTTTTTTTTAATACTGTAATTTCATGAAGGCGTGAAGGATTTGATTTACAAAATTAATTCAAATCCATAAATATAAATATAAATTAATCTTAATTCATAGAGTTAGCATTATATTAAAGGATGCTTAAGTTTTATTTAACCCAAGGATTACACTAAGTTGATAATTGTCCAATAAAAAGTTTGTAGGGCTGAATATTACAATTTTTGGTATCAAATTCCAATTTCGATCAATGAGAATATTTTAAAGAAGACATGTTTTTTTTTCAAAATTATTTTTTTTAATATAAGCCAAGGGAAACCCGTGTAAAAATTGAACAAAATTAGATCTTGACAGATTTTATAAGAGATTTGCATCCTGAGAGCAAATAATTGTAAATAATAAGATAAAGATTATTTTGAGAGGCTTGGTGAGCGAGCATATCCGCACATCTATTTGCTTCATTAAACATGTGTTTAAAAGTAAAGATTCAATCTTTCATGACCAATGTTTTGACTTTGTTGATAATTTCAGAAAGAGGATAGTTATCAGGAAAATTATGTTGGATAAACGAGAGTGCTTTCATAAAATCAAAGTACATATTGATTTTGTCAAAATGGGCATTCCAACAAAGCTGTAGTCTTTCTAAAATGCCTAATAATTCTACTGTTGTACTTGGATGATAACCGAGATATTTGAAAAATTTCTTAATTCAATTGCCTTTATCATCTCGTATGATTCCACCACAAGTAGTAGCTCTAATAGAGTTGACAGCCCCATCAATGTCAAGGCAAATCCAACCTGTTTCTGGAGGTATCCAACATGCTTCTAATCTATTGCAATCGCGACTATTTCCAAAATTTTTTCAAGGCATGCAAAACCTTTAACATAAAGCCTGCATATATTTTTAATGATTTTATTCTTAGAACAAGTGCATTTTTATCTCTTCTCCTTCTACTGTACAAGCGATAAATATTTATAATGCCTGTTTGGATTTGCCCTTTTAATCAATTATTGCAAAGAAAACTATGGTGGGGGGTAAAAAATACCCAAACACTCTATTTTGCCCATAATTGATTATTTGGGTATTAACCACATTTTGAAATAAGCTCATTTCTCTTGCTTCTACAAATCGATTATGTATGCTAGATAATTAATTGTGAGCCGAAATTTGAACCTTCCAAATTCATCCTTACATTGTGCAACTCAATGATTTCTCAACACATTCTCAATTTAATCTCGAGCTACTGTAACTAAACACCAATGAAATTATTAACATGAGAGTTAAATTGTATGAGAGAGAGGAGGACAATCATTAATGGCGCATGCGTTAAAAAATTGATGGTTTCAACGTTAGTTTAAGTTTTTGTTCTCTTAATTTAATCTAACTTTCTTAAATAATGTGAGTTGACTAAAATTTACTTACATCTAAAAAAGAGAGAATATCTTTTATTTTTTTAATAAAATTTAACATATTTAATAATATTATATAAAGCTTTATCAATATTTCATTAAGAGATAATGCCTTTTTTGATAATTTATGCATTTAAAATTAATTCTAACTAAATTATTTAAATATCTTTAATTTTATCAAAATTAATTTCAGAAAAATAATATCCAAACATGATCACATTATAACATAATCAATTATAATTAAAATTAATTATATTAATTAATTTTTTATAATTAATTATACCCAATTAAAATCAAAAAAAAAAAAAAGCAAACGTCCTACATACCATGTTTTTACTGTAGATTCATGGTTTTATATAAGAATTTCTCCGTTGACCTCCAAATTTTACATCACTGAAAAAAAAAATTGTCTCGGCTGCGATTAATTTTACATTCTTGCCAAAAAAAAAAAAGTGCTCCTTGACGCAGAATTCCAGCGAGTTCGTGCGTTTTCTACTTTGCACAGCTTTAACAATGGGGTTCTGCTACAGCTTCAGCATCCATGGCGGACACATGACGTTACCTCAGGGCTTTCAATGTCCCCAAATCCTGATTAAACGCATCTTGGAGCTTCTCCTGCTACATTTGGATTGCCTCCTCAAAGTGCTGAATCGCCCACAACTGTAGCGGAGGTGTACATACCGATGGAGTATTCTGACAGTGAAGAATTGGAGTAATCACCATACCTTCAAAGTTCAAATTCATTTTAATCACGGAATTTCAATTGCCTCCATTGATCAGTTTAGTCAAAGGTTAAGGCGGACGAAAACAGAGTGGTGAAGGATAAGTGAGAGAAAGAGACAGAGCTGGAGAGAGAAGTGGGACAGAGCAAAGAGTATGAATGGAAGGTGCTCAGATTACCATCATTTATAGGTTCCGGTGAATGAATCTTGGTCGTCACGTATATCAATGGTACTTTCGGCGAATAAAGTGCCTTTGTTTATGTTCATGAACGCGTCTGTTGGTGAGGCCATTTTGAATTATCGAATAGAAGGGGTAGACAAATCATGGGTCGAGTGGTTTATCAACTCTGGTGCCGTTCTCAATCTCACAAGGTCATCTTTTGTCTGCATGTTCTTTCTTGATTCTGTTGGCAGTACTGGCAGTATAGACGTAAACCACAGGCTGTTTGAGTTGTGCCCAGAAGAATACTGTTATTAAAAATTATTCCAACATACCAGGATGACAAACTGACAGTTTTTTAAAATTAAACAAGCACTTACTGCTGAAGTAAGGAACCAGAATAACAATACTAATAAGAAAACTTAAACATATGTAAACGCAAAAGAGGAGGAGAAGAATGCCCCAAAATCTCAAGACCTGGCACTGATCCTGTTTGCACCTGTAGCGATATATAGGCCGAAGGTAAGCGTTGGGCTCATAATTCCTAATTAAACCTATTAAGCTTCAGTTACATAATTGTAAAACACACTTAAACGTTTGTCTGAAAATGTTGGGGCATTTAAGTGTCTATCTAAAAACATTGGGGGACAAAATGTTTAGGAATTTTAATTATTTATTTAAAGAATTCGATTAAAGGCCAAAATGCTTAATGGTTTGAATTCAAACTGCAAATAGTCAAAAAAAGAGGTTTTCCAATGAGCCCATAATTATTTATTTTTATAAAAATAATTCAGTAAAAAAAACTCAATATCTCTTCAAATTCAATTTCATCAACCACATGCAGTACGTTGTTGCTGTATGGACTGTTGATACACGATTGGTGTTATTGTGGGAAGGTGATGAAGGGTAAAGCTTGAATTGGGTTAATCTTTTATCTTGTACGCGTTGCTTATGTTAGTGAACATGTGTTTTTTCTCCCTCCTTATTTTCATGAGTAACCAACAGAAATTGAATTTTTTTTCCCCAGTTTTGTTGGCTTCTTGCCGCTAACTATCATGTGCTAAACACATGCTACGCTTTCACATGGGACTGAAAAACAGGAA